CACGCAGGCGATGTGATATTGCACTTTAACGCGGTAATAACGAAGGCTTGCAAGCGATTTTAGATGAACATTTAAGTCAAATGTGTAGACGGTAGTAAGCTGTTGTTGTGTACCGAAGATATCAACTGTCACCCTTATGATAAAAATAAATCAGGAATGGGCTGAAAAACCGCCGTCCTGAATGACAGGAACATAACCTTTGATGAGACAGTAGTAATAGCCTTATTCTTCGGAGAAAAAACCAGCAGAATGAAATTGTAGATGCGCTGTTATTTCGGTAACATGCCTTTATCGAAACGAATAGCAGAAGAAGCCTTTACGTTTTGATCAAGGCATGTTGCTAAAACATTAACTCATCTGTATCTCCATTACCCTGGTTTTTCTCCGATGGATAAGGCTATCACTGCTGTCTTATTTATGTACATAATGTTCCTCGCAAATGCACTTAACAACTTACGAAACATGGAATTTGTTGGAAAAGTCAAGTACACAGACATGGGTATCGTTAACAAGCTTCGCGAACATTTCATATCGATATGTCCTTGACATCATAGGCCAAAGTAAACGTTTCTCTACGGGGCTTATTTTTTATCTCAAAAGGTTTTTACTTGTGCTGTATGGTGTCTTTGTGTGACTAATTAAAGTGCTGTTGCACCATGTAATGAAGTTTTCTCTCAAATAATTTTATTAAGATTTAAGCGTTACGAAAGCGTTTTTTTCCTCGAAAACTCTTCACAGAGTTTTAAACCCTAAGAATGCTATTTTTCTCAAAGGGTAAGTGCTTGTGTTGTATGATGTTCTCGTATGATTATTTTCAAGTGTTGTTACACCATATGGGGAAATATATTTAGCTCGCATGCCTGCGAAGAAGAGGCGTCAATAACGAGCTGTCCGAACATCAGTGGACGTGAAACAAGGAAGCAGAGAATTCCTGCTGCATAATATGGCCGGTAAATGTACAACGACGATGACAAGATTATGTACTCAATTCCCCCAGAGCAGTGTTGCTTGGCATTTGGAACCCTTGACAAGGTTTATGTACCGTTAGGTTCTGGACCGGGGCATAAAAAAGCCAGCACACTACAACAATGCTGCAGGGCTGTAGCAGCCCTAAACTACTTCTTGAATGAAATATGCACTTTGATTCCTATCAAAACGAGCAGATGGTCACTAGACGTGCACTGCGCCAGTGCGCAGTTAGTATAATGCAATTAAACACTAAGCGGAAGTTGCAAAACCTATGCAGCAGTAGTCATTCGTCGTCTGGGGCGCACGCAATAGGTGCCGTCGATTCATTAGGAATGTCTAATTCGTGTGAGATATACCGCGTCTGTGGTCTTTCACCGCTTCAGCAGACCGAGAGGCTGTCTGTAGCGTTTGCACTCTAGTTCATGACCCGCACTGTCTGAGCGTTTGCTAGCTACCGACATCGCCAGTCCTGTCTATTTGAGCGTTTGCTGGCTACAGACATCGTCAGGCCTGATTGTTTATGCTAACTGCCGGCATCGCCAGGCCTGTCTAGTTCAGGTGCGAAAATCTCTAAATGTAATAATAATAATATACGTTGCCCGTGCCTGCGATCAATGAATTACATAGAACGGAAATAGTCATGGTGGATGATAGTCGATGCTTGGTTGCAGTAATGTCATCAGTTGTGTGGAGCCGCCTGGGGCCTGGCGACAGGGGCTTATGCATTACCTGCGTAACACAAAAGTCTAACGGCTAAAGTGCAAAAATCCAGCCCGTTTTTTGGAGTTACGCTAGCAAGCTACAAACGCGCATTTGCCCTCAAAAGCTCATTCCTTGTTTCATCAGCCACATATGCTGTACGTTTCCAATGTGTTGCTGGTATTTCTTCCCGTGTCGCAACGGTGCTGCTTTCCACCACGCTAAATGATCTGGGCAACCAAAAACGTTTGGTGCAGTCTGGTGTGACTACCTTCTCGCGGTTAATTGCGTTTCAGACTACAAAAAAGAATTTTGTCGTGAGCATTCCTCATTCACACTATAGTCTTATGTGCACGACAGCTCACAATGTCAGGAAATCGTAGAAGTATTCACTTGTATCGTTACATATTAACGTTGCTGCTTTGCGGAACAATCTACCAAATAAAAATAAATCAAACAAGACCTTAACCTTACCCTCAAATAGTGCTTGAGTCTCATGTATGTACCACTTGGCACGTATGCATATGAATAAGTAGCATCATCTGTGCCCTATACACACGTGCGGTTTACGTTCTTCGCAAAAAGGCGTACCCAAGTTGTCCTTCCTCAAACTGTGCACAATCGAAGGCCCATACACGACTGATCAGTCTCCTGTATGGTCAAATTATCGCACTTTTTATCCCAATGTTCCTTGACTATCCGGTGATACTTGAGCCTGGATTTTTTCGTATCCCACCTGCTACAGACTCGGGCACTTCCACAGTCCCAAGGCATTACACCTTCCCAGGCGAAGCTCGTCGCTTTGGCAGGATTCTGGCCATTGCGGATTTTTTAACGTCCATGGAGGCCAACTGGTAATTGTTGAAACCTTGACTGCTTGGGCTTCATTTGGATAATCTGTGGTCTTTCCTGACCGTTTCGGGGCTCTTTGACTATCATAGGGCCTCGATCATCTGGGGCCCTCGACTTTCGGGTTTTTCAGCTTGTGGTAGGCTTTTGATCCTCTCATTGGACCTTGGTGAGATAGGAAACCCTTTTTAATGAGAGCTCATGATCGTTTCGGACCCTCCAGCGTTTGAAGTCTGCTTATTTTTTTAGCCCTGAGCAGTGCTTGGAGCCTACTTCTTATACTGAAACGTGCCCTGTCTCGAGACCCCATGACCATCCAGGGACGCTTGCCGGTCTCGGAGCCCTTGACGACCGATGAGTCTCCAGAATATTTGGAGATCTTTAATGTCTGTAGACGCTGGGCCGTTCCGCGGTTCTCAGCTTTCTGCCAAATAACCACTTGTTCAATTATTTTATTTATTTTTGCTATCTCGGAACAATGAGCTTTGTCATCGCCTTTGAGACTCGAGCCCCTTACATCGATGATGATGATGAGGATTTGGGGTTTTAGGGCGTATCGACTGCTGTAGGTCATGCAGCGCCCAATCCCCTTACACCGGAAATGAGCCTGCCCGTGTAGGTCCGCTTTGGCCATCCCGAGTCTGTAGACTCTCCCGACCGCCACTGATCACCTCCGCGTCTCAAACCGTTTAAGAAGCATTCTCCTTTTCGACTTTTTATTTTTGCTTTCTATTTGGAACCTCTTTCACGATTTTGGCTGCTTAGCCATGGCCGAACCCCTCTGCAATATCGCGAACCCTGACAGCTGGGATACAGACAACCTAACCTGACAGCCGGGATACGGGCAAACTGACCTTCTTGGACCTTTCAATCATCGCAAATCTTTTGACCAGTCTACTAGTCGAAATGTCTTTGCCTAGCTGCAAAATTTCTTGGTCCAGGGGCCTGCACCCGTGTTGGACTGTTCAGAAAGAAAAAAAAACAAACTCTTCACGGTATGAACGTGGGCACACGCACATAAAATGTCCGCGGAGAACATGCTCCTCACCTGATTCATGGCATTAAAGTGACTAAATGTTGGCAGCTACCAATTCCAAGTAGACGAGTAAAAAGGAAAACACCGAGAACATGTGATGTTGCTCTACGATACGTCAGAACCTGCGCTCGCCTTAGGCACTCTGCTTTGTTTTAGTTGATCTGTTTAGTTGTGTCACCTCCTGATCGTGAAATCCTACGTGCGCCCCTGGTTATGAATGCCGCCCGGCTTTCTCTAACTCCGTTGTTTCCGGGACCCCTACCAATCTAATGGTCTGACGTATTTTTCGAGAGCTTTTGGGAACACCTTGTCGGTGATCCCTTTTTTCTGGAGGAGGGGAAAAACACTTGAAAGCTTCTGAGGCCTCCTTCAGATAAGAGCCCAAGCACATACTTTTGTCCCCATCCAAACCCGGGGATCTGAAGCCGGGGAGCGGTGCATCCTTGCTATCATTCGGACGCGTCGTCACAGATCATTTCTTTACATTTTGGTATCATCTGCATGATAATAATTATAACCCATGTCAGCCATTACCTTAATTATCCCCTGTACGGTACGTCACACTGGCATCAAGTATGGCCACAAGTGTCACCTAGCTCAGAAGTGTTGTGATCATAATCCCCGCTGGGCGCAATCTGTCGGTGTAGAAGTCATTGGACACCGTTGTCCTATATAACGCAAAGTATGGAATGTAGTGTCGACGTTTAGCCTGCATTCGGCGGGTCAGTCGATTGCCACCCAGCACGCTTTCTTCACAGCATGCGTGGCTGACTGTGCCAGGCGTCCACATCTTCAGCCTGGTGCGGACACATCAGCCGCCCACATCTTCAGCCTGGTACGGACACATCAGCCGTCCACAGCTGCAGCCTGGTGCGACCACATCAGCCGTCCACAGCTGCAGCCTGGTGCGGCCCCATCAGCCGTCCACAAATGCAGCCTGGTGCGGACACATCAGCCGTCCACAGCTGTAGACTGGTGCGGACACATCAGCTGTCCACAGCTGCAGCCTGGTGCGATCACATCAGCCGTCCATAGCTGCAGCCCGGTGCGGCCACATCAGCTGTCCACAGATGCAGCCTGGTGCGGACACATTAGCCGTCCACAACTGCAGCCTGGTGCGTACGCATCAGCCGTCCACAGCTGTAACCTGGTACGAAGGCACGAACCCGCGTGCGGCGGCAGAGAGCGACGGATGGAATGGGGGCGGGGGGCCGTGCGGAGATGTGGAGGGCCGAGAAAGAGAGAAGAGAGAGAGAGAGAGAGAGAGAGAGAGAGAGAGAGAGAGAGAGAGAGAGAGAGAGAGAGAGAGAGAGAGAGAGAGAGAGAGAGAGAGAGAGAGAGAGAGAGAGAGAGAGAGAGAGAGAGAGAGAGAGAGAGAGAGAGAGAGAGAGAGAGAGAGAGAGAGAGAGAGAGAGAGAGAGAGAGAGATCCGCCGGACGGAACTGACCTGTGACCGCGCCGGGACGGCCGCCGCCGGGACCCCCCGTGCCGGCGGGCAGACACTGGCTAGAGCTCGGATCCAACTGGAACACGCCCCAGCCGGGTTGGCGCTGCACCATCAGCTCCAGCAGCATGGTGATCTGCTGTGCGTTGTCACGGCTCAACAGGCAGTTTTCGGTGCGGCTGTAGCCGTTCCTGTGGAGGAGGAGAAGCGGTGTCAGACGCGCTGCGCGATGCCCCGGCCGCTGCCGCGATGACAGGAGGTAGCCTGCAGATATCGCACGTGCGACTCATGTAACGGCATGCTCTTCGCTGCCGGCATGTGCAATACCGAGCAGAGCATCGATCATCTTTCCTGGACCACGACGAGTAAAAAAAAAGAGTTGTGTTCCTTTCATCTACGCACACGACAACAGGATTCCTAGCAGCTTTGCACATTAGTTGGTCACGATAATTTAGGATGGCGTGACATTTGCTAAAACATGTAATCAAGTACCCAACCCTTACAATGTCCATTATTGGAACACAGACATGGCAAACATAATCAGTCAGGAGCGAGAGAAGTTGTCCAGGGGGGGGGGGGGGGCGGGCTCAGAGGCATAGTTGTCCAGGATAAGGAGAGCGGGTGGCGGGCTCAGAGGCACAGTTGTCCAGGAGTAGGAGAGGGGAGGGGAGGGCTCAGAGGCACAGTTGTCCAGGAGTAGGAGAGGGGAGGGGAGGGCTCAGAGGCACAGCTGTGGAGGACTGGGGAGGAGGGAGGGTGGCTAAGAGGCAATTGGAGTCGTCTCTTTCAGTGCACCGCCATAAGCCTTGCGATAAATTGCCCCAGAATGTTCGGTGGGTGGGTCAAGTCCCCCAAGGCCCCCAACGATCTGATAGTTCTGCGTCTCTGGAATTAACTCACTCTAAATCAGACAAAATGCGTTAAATCCGCATCGCACAGGTCAGAAAATATGCTGAAAGAATTCTCGACGGTCTGCATTGCCGAGACGTGCCACAAAGAGCATGGCAATCTGGTGTGCTCGGTTAAGGGTAAGGTTTGCCGTTGCAGGCGTGCGTCACGTGTGTGTGTGTGTGTGTGTGTGGTGTGTGTGTGTGTGTGTGTGGTGTGTGTGTGTGTGTGTGTGTGTGTGTGTGTGTGTGTGGTGTGTGTGTGTGTGTGTGTGTGTGTGGTGTGTGTGTGTGTGTGTGTGTGTGTGTGTGTGTGTGTGTGTGTGTGTGTGTGTGTGTGTGTGTGTGTGTGTGTGTGTGTGTGTGTGTGTGTGTGTGTGTGTGTGTGTGTGTGTGTGTGTGTGTGTGTGGTGTGTGTGTGTGTGTGTGTGTGTGTGTGTGTGTGTGTGTGGTTGTGTGTGAGCGCGCGCGCGGGTGGAGCCGATGCTGAGCACCGATCCCTAGCCTCTGGACGCGCGGCCGGCCAGCCGGAGAGGCGTGGTCCCATCACGGCAGCGCCGCACCGCACCTGTGCCCTCCTCCCTGTTCCACTTACGTGCCCGCACACCCGCCATTACCGTGTTTCCGCCTGCAGACGTGAACTGGGCCATACGCGCCCGGAGCTGGGCACGGCGACCCTTCCAGCACGCCGACGTCGTGACGTCACGCCGGAGCCGGTCGGGTCGTGTGTCACATGCACAGGCTCACAGTGGCGGCGGCGTTCATGGCAGAGCGGCATTCCGGGCAAGACTATGCCGTTCTGCGCAAGAGTCCCTGATGTCGGGAATGAAACAGGCGCTGTGGATGTCCCATGGGCTTAACGGTTCCACAGCGTCACGTTTGCCAACACAAATCCAGAGCAATGCGCCCGACTGCGCGCATGCACGAATGCGTTTGTGATTGTACATGCATGCGTCCTGTTAGAATAGGGCTGATATGGCCATAAAAGGCGTGTGCTTGCCTGCCAGTTCGTTACCTGGGTGACCGTAATCACCAACAAAGTCTACAAGTCTCTCCCCAAACTCATTCATTTGGTCGCTGCATTGTTCCCTTTGGCGGTGCGTTGTTTTGTCGTGCAACAGATATGGCCGAGCTGGTGGTCGGCACATCTCTAATTACTGAGTAGGAAAATCTGCATCCTGCCACATTTTAAGCCATTTCGCAACCATATCACTTCTCACAGATCCCCACGCATTGTCCTAATGTCACGGTAACAATGGCCTAAGCTCAGGGAGAGCGCCTTTTAGAGGAAAGGAGCGGGACTTCTCGACCGTAAAATCCAGGAACTACAACACAATTGCCCCCGCACGTTGTCAGAAAGCACACTGTGCCTTCAACTCCTCCCAGCCACCGTCCACACGTCCACCTGCAGTATTCGCCAGACTATTTGCTCGGCCCTTCCCTTCACACAACAGGCGCTGTCAAGGTAGGACATTCCGTCATCTGCTTGGTGCGGTTGTAGCTGGCGCACGACAGACCATCTCCTTGGAGATCTTAACAGTGGGAGATAGCCTGCGATGGCTTACACTGCACCGTACAGAGATCTCGCGCCATCTCACCAGTCCACAGACACCCAAGCACGTGCACTGCGCCCCACTCCCCCAACCATTAGTCAAAGAGTTCGCACCCCGCGGCACCGATTCGTCGAGGGGTTTGCATCCCACGCCGCCGATTCGGTGACGAGTTTGCATCACGCGCCAGCAATTTGTCGAGGAACTCGTATCCCACGCCACCGATTTGCCGAGAAGTGCACACAACAGCTGTCGTCAATATGCACGTTTCGCCTTAGACTGGATGCCTTGACATTGAATGAATGAACTCTTCGGCGTTTACAATAAATATGTGACATAGCATCGATAGGGTATAGAGAAGCACGGCATTGCAACTATCAGAAGTCGTGCAACTTTCCTTTCCGACCAAATGGTCGGAAATCCTGCTCTGTGCCCCTCAGATGAATGGGTTAAATTCCCTGCCAACATGAGGCTGCGCTCCTTCCATCCGTGCAGTACAGCCAAGCACAAAGATGCAACCAATCACTGTCCTAGAGTATATCACCATCTAGCCTGCCGGCTCCTTCAGGCTCGACTCCACTCCACCCACGTGGCCACAGCCCGCTCGGCCGCCGTACGTCCGACGGTACCCTTCACCGGTGGTCCGGCCGGGTGCGCGGAGCTCGGGCGAGCCCCCCAGACGGCCGCCGCCCCTCCGGCGGCGACGGCGGCGCGCGAGCTGCGTGCGGCCGCGGACACGCATTGGTCTTGTTTACGGCCGCTTCATTGTGAGAGGCGCAGCGAAGCGCGGCGAACAACACACGCGGCGGATATCATTAGATATGAACAATGCGTGGACCGCTGCAGACGACGGCCAGTCTCGAGCGGGTCATGTGTGCCTCTGCGGAGGGGTGGCGGTGCCGACCGCCAGTCTCGAGCGGGTCATGTGGGCCTCTGTGGAAGGGTGGCGGTGCCGACCGCCACTCTCGAGCGGGTTATGTGTGCCTCTGCGGAAGGGTGGCGGTGCCGACCACCAGTCTCGAGCGGGTCATGTGGGCCTCTGCGGAAGGGTGGCGGTGCCGACCGCTAGTCTCCAGCGGGTCATGTGTGCCTCTGCGGAAGGGTGGCGGTGCCGACCGATTCTGAGCAGGATCGAGCTCATCTCCTCGCCAGCGGCACGCGTCCGGCGCAGCTGATGCAAGTGACGCTAATTGCAATAGGTGAAGTTTGATTCCGGTATGTGCTCGCCAGGATGGTCGCCATGCTTTCTAAATTTCCGTCTGACCCTTTCATTCTGTTTCATCCCACGCAAAGACGAGTAGTTGAGTATTCTACGGCCATTGGTGTGCCGTGTTCGGGGTGGGATGAGCGAACCTCTGCGCAGGGACGCCTCTGCAGGATGTGTGCCTGGCGCTCGGACGGACCCCACATCAGCGCTACTTCGGTCCACTCGTGGCTGGCGCATGCAGCCAGCTCCGGAGAAGCATGGAGTCGCGGAGATGCAGGATAAAGCAAGGATGAGGATAAAATGAACGAATAAACACCACGCAGTGGCATCCAAAACTTGCGACACCAAAATCCCTGCTTGTCGACCAAAGCAGCTTGATTTGGGACAGTGCACTGCTGCACGGCTGGTCTTGGACATCGGGATGACAGTAATCATGCTGATTAGCCTCACCGCCGAAATGATATATTTCTGCTGCACATGACGTCGGCTAGCGTTTTACTGCTGGCCACGCCAGTTACTGTCCTCGTACATGCTGTCGAGCAACGGTGTGTGATTGCCGACATCCGAGTACGTGACGAAAATGTACTTGCCGGCGTGGTACCAACCGATCTCAATAAATAGCTGTCATTCCAAGCGTCAGATAAGTCATTATCTCTGGACAACATGTGCTCAGTTCTGACCGCAGCGTCGAGTTGCGTGCTCACCTGTAGCTGAAGGTGGTGCAGCCACGCAGCCGCGAGCACTCGTCTTCACACTGGCGCCGGGTGGTCACCATGACGGCACCGCGCACGTGTCGGTCCCGGTGGCGCAGGTTCGGCCCCACCAGCCGGTAGCAGCCGCCTGCCGGTACCGGCGTCCTGCGTCACCGCGTCATCGGCAGCCAGGGTCACCGCGTCATCGGCAGCCAGGGTCACCGCGTCAGTGGCGCCCTGCGTCACTCCGTCACCGGGACCGGCTAGGCCGACGCCAGCTACCGCCGACCCGAGTCCGCCGAGAAACTACTGCAGGCGAGGAGGACAGGTTATGCTGCATGCTGCAGCGAGCTGGGAGGACGGGGTATGCTGCGAGCTGCATGCCTGTCCTCCCAGCGGGCTGGCAGGAAGGGATATGCTGCGAGCTACAGCAGGCTAGTAGGACGGGGATGCTGTGAGCTAAAGCGGACTGGTAGGACGGAGTATACTGCGAGCTACAGCAGGCTGGTAGGACGGAGTATACTGCGAGCTACAGCAGGGTCAGAGAAAGGGATATACCGCGAGCTACAGCAGGCTGGGAGGACGGGGTATGCTGCGAGCTACAGCAGGGTGAGAGAAAGGGATATACCGCGAGCTACAGCAGGCTGGGAGGACGGGGTATGCTGCGAGCTACAGCAAGCTGGGAGGACGGGGTATGCTGCGAGCTACAGCAGGCTGGGAGGACGGGCGTATGCTGCGAGCTACAGCAGGCTGGGGGGACGGGGCATGCTGCGAGCTACAGCAGGCTGGGGGACTGGGGTATGCTGCGAGCTACAGCAGGCTGAGAGGGCGGTGGTTTGCGGACGGAGAGGACGTGACTGGTATTGCAAATATACCTGATCAAAACTGACGAAAAGGCCCGCAGTCACTATCTGGGTTTGGAGGATGTTTTTCCTTCGAATATTCCAATTTTCGGTATTGGGATTCTGCGGCGAGAAGTAGCAGACAATATCGCTGGGGACCTCCGCAATTACAACCTTCAGTTGCAGGATGAAAAGGCTGTACAAATTAAAGTGCAAGTGCAAGTATGTGCAAGTACAAGTATGTGCAAGTGCAAGTGCAAAGTGCAAGTAACATTTGTTGTCGTTGGATTGCATAGCCCCAGTCCCACATGCAACCGAGTTCTAGCGCGAAGCGGAAATGAATGCCTTTCAACGACTTCAGGGCCAATGCTATTCTGCATTACGTGGCCTCAACGAACAAACCATGGGAGCTGGAGTAAGTGGTGCTCTCTTACCGAGGCTGCCAGGACCGCCGGGGCCCGGGCCGGGCCCAGGGCCGGGCCCAGGGCCGGGACCACCGCTGTCATCGCAGCGCGGGTTGTCCTGCCGATTATAGGTGTCATGCTCGGCGTCCGAGATGAGGTCACGTGACGTCAGCAGGTCGCGGCTCAGCCGACAGTTCATCTCGGCCGCGAATGTAGTCAGCCTGCAACCAGACAGACGAACGGGCGAAGCCCGCTCATTCCATCCATCCATTCCAACTGTCTGAGCGCGTAAACATACCCTATAAAACAGAAAAACGTCACGTATTGGGAGCTAAACAAACTGCGCTGGAGTAATCAGCAATCGGTCGAGCCCACCGGCTGTCATCACCTCCAACTTCGGCGTTCACCTCGGAACAGGACAATCGAGTTAGCGCAGAGGGCAGGCCGTGACTGCAGGTGCCAGCTGCTGGACCCACTTGTAACTGAGCGTGTTGCAGCCGGCCCGCTTGCACTCCTGCTGACAGGCGACCAGGCTGGTGGCCCGCATCGCGTTGTCAGTGCGCGTGTTGGGCACGCGCATGTCGCGCGAGATGTGCCGGAAACACTCTGCAATCGGACAGCAGCTCGGTCAGCGCGGCCTTATACCAGTTGATCCCGGTGACGTCAGCGGGTTGTGTCACTCCCGCTCGCCAAACAATCTGCTGGCGCACAATTGGACGTAGCCGCTCGATCCAGGGTCAAGTACGTTGGGGACAAGAACGGCAGACAGTTGGTATGGACTTTCGTCTTCGCATGTGACATGTAAATGGTTTTACTTCTGAGCATCGGTTGCGAGGCAGCACACATTTCGTCTCGTAAAATAGATATAACGTCTGATGCGCAGCGTTATGGACGGGAGCGGTGCCGCAGACCGCACACTAGCGTCTCTCGTGGGCAATGTTTTAAGCTCGGTTTGTGCCTTCGGTCTATAGATGGCCGTACCGTCGCCATTGTGCTCCTCGCCGGTGCCGAACTGGCAGGCGCGACTGAAGTCGCGCTGGTATGTGTCCGCCTCTCGGTCCGGTTCCAGACGGGTGCGGTAAGCGTCCTCTCGCGAGAGGGCGCAGTTGCTGCGCACCTGGCGTCTCCTGCGGCACGGAGGTCGCAGCCACTCACTTCACGGCGCGTTAGGCAGCGCCTCTACATCTGGTCGAGCGCCTGCAGCGTTCCGCCACAGCTAGTGTTACCGCCCCGGAAAGACCATCCTTTGAACTGTATATATTAGACGAACGGGGTGTCGATGGAGGACCTCCAGCGCGATCCTTTTGTAACTGCTGTTGCTCGCTATTCTAGCAGCCTCGGAGAGTTGACGTAAACCAAATGGGCCGCCCGAGTACCACAGGGATGCAGCACTTACGTGTAGCTGAAGGACCGACAGCCCATGTAGGACATGTAGCAGATCCGCTCACACTCGTAGCGCGTTGCAGCGCTGAACACGGCGTCAATGCGAGACTGCTGGAGCCGCTGCTCGCTGCTGACCAGACGGTAGCAGGCGTCTGTAGACAGAAGCACAGCATGCACATGAATGACGTCCTGTGAGTTTGAAGCAGGAGTAGGCTTAATCGTGCCTACACGGACCGACAGCCCTAGACAGAACTCATATGCATCGATATAGCGCTGGCGTGTCTTTAAGACATTTGTCGAAACTCAACGATGGGACATTGCAGGCCGTGCCCACAGGAGTACCACGTTCTGGCCATACCCAACTCACAGGCAATTTATGATTTGTTTGTTTTTGAAGGAGTTACATACAATGTTTACAAATAAGTGCAGCCTTCGCTTTCTGCTCGTTTGTAGCTCGCTTACATGGTATTACTTATCCTTGTCGCTGAATCGTTGTCTAGTGGCTGAAACTAGCCAAAAGCTATTTGATGTATCTAAAAAGAGGGCGGAAGAAACAGAACAAATATTTTGCCTGAGGCGCTTTATCAGTGGTGGGACACCATTCAACTGGGCGTCAATTCTGTGTTAAGGCACAAACTAGTTATTGATTAAGAAAGTACTTATGGTTATGTACTGCCACTTTTGTGATCAGGAGAGAGAGAGAGAGAGAGAGAGAGAGAGAGAGAGAGAGAGAGAGAGAGAGAGAGAGAGAGAGAGAGAGAGAGAGAGAGAGAGAGAGAGAGAGAGAGAGAGAGAGAGAGAGAGAGAGAGAGAGGAGAGAGAGAGAGAGAGAGAGAGAGAGGAGAGAGAGAGAGAGAAGAGAGGAGAGAGAGAGAGAGAGAGAGAGAGAGAGAGAGAGAGAGAGAGAGAGAGAGAGAGAGGAGAGAGAGAGAGAGAGAGAGAGAGGAGAGAGAGAGAAGAGAGAGAGAGAGAGAGAGAGAGAGAGAGAGAGGAGAGAGAGAGAGAGAAGAGAGAGAGAGAGAAGAGAGAGAGAGAGAGAGAGAGAGGAGAGAGAGAGAGAGGAGAGAGAGAGAGAGAGAAGAGAGAGGAGAGAAGAGAGAGAGAGAGATAGCAGAGAGAGAGAGAGCCAGAGAGAGAGAGAGAGAGAGAGAAAGAGAGAGAGAGAGAGAGAGAAGAGAGAGGAGAGGAAGGATGAAAGAGAGAGAGAGAGGAGAAGAGAAGAAGAGGAGAGAGAGGAGAGAGAGGAGAGAGAGGAGAGAAGAAGAGAGAGAGAGAGAGAGAGAGAGAGGAGAGAGAGAGAGAAGAGAGAGAGGAGGAAGAGAGAGAGAGAGAGGAGAGAGAGAGGAAGGGAGAGAGAGAGAGAGAGAGAGAGTATAGAGATAGAGAGATGTAGTATAGAGATATATGAAATATATATATATTAGTATTATAATATATATACTATATATATTAGAGACTATATATATATATATATACGTCATACCGGCAAGCATCATACCGACTGTCGAAGAAACTGAAATATCCCTTATCGTGTGTAACAAAAACAGGACAACCAGAACCCCCGTAGGCGTACATTTTCATGCTTCGTCATTTTGCGCGCCACCCGTCCGGGGCCGGCGGGACTTCGCGCGCTGAGCTTGGGGAAACGAACCAGCCGGCCGTGGTCAAGAGCTCCCCCCACGACCAGACACCTCCATCAGGCCGAGATATGAATAATGCGGTTCGGCCCAACGCTTCAGCCGATCAGCGCGCATCGTCAAACCAACGCCAGTTGCTCGAATGGTTTAGCGAAGGAGCGAGGCTGGATGAGGTTGGCCCGGGCCGCGAGAGGATACTCGGGCCGGCGTTGGGCGGTGCTGTGTCCGGAGCCATGGATACACGCTTGGACGCGGCGGCCCGCTCGTTGACCTGCCCCGTAGCTGTCCGGAGTTTGCCGTTGGGGGAGGTCATGCGGAGGCGCTGCAGCTTGTCTGGGCCCTCGCCTGGCCGTCGACGGCCAGGCGAGGCGTACGGGACACGCTGACAGTTCCCTGGAGGTCTCCGGGGGCAATGGCGGTAGAATGTGAGTTAGTTGGACGGTTCGCCCTATCTTGTCCCCTTAGTTCTTTTTTTCTCAATAGCTCGAGGTGACCGGATCCTCCCGGGCGCATGACCTGCCTCTCTCACGACCACGCCGCCTTCTCCCCATTCGTGATCGCTTTGCCTAGGCCAATGGGGTGCATGGTCTCGTGGGACCTCCGCACAGACCAAGGCTCATTTTCTCGCCAGCTGGGGCGTTTGGTTTTCTGCCCCCCTTGTCGCTTGTGTGTGTGTGTGTGTGGTGTGTGTGTGTGTGTGTGTGTGTGTGGTGTGTGTGTGTGTGTGTGTGTGTTGTGTGTGTGTGTGTGTGGTGTGTGTGGTGTGTGTTTTGAGACGCCGAACTCCCGCCGGATGCCGAGTCAACGGACGGGGTGGTCTCGCCGGACGTCCGCGCATGCCTAGGCTCGCTTCCCGTTCAGTCGGTCGCTTGCATTCCATCTCTCCTTTCGATCCGTCGTGGGACGCCGAGCTCTTACCAAGCTCCGCTCCGCCCGGTGCGCCTGCTCACACTTCGTTATGTGCATGCTGCCCCCCCCCCCCCCCCTCCTTCGCTTGATCACTTGTCCGCCCCGATAGGTCAGCTGGTTCAGTGAGGTACCCGCGCGTGAGTAAGGTTGAATGCTTTTTTTTGCTTTGTTTTTGTTAGTCGTTGTCTTCCCTTTTTCATGTTTTTTTTCCGCTCGCCTCGCTGTTAATACGTTAGCGCGGTCTAGCTCCGCCCAGGGCATGCGCTGCACGGATTTCCTCAGCGAGCGCGTATATTCCGTTTTCTACCTCCCTCTTCGTTTCGCTAGATCCGGATAGATCTCCGAGCGAGCGATGCACGGGGTCCATGTTCGGTTGGCGAAGATCCACCTCGTCAGGGAGGGATCCGACACGGACGCGGCGTTCGGAAGGAAGCACGGACGCCATCTGTCGGCTGACATGGGCAATCACGGCAGATGGCAGCACCCGGCGGTGAGCGATGGCGGCGCGGGCACCCGCGACCGGCGTGGATGGACGGGGCGCTCCAGCGCTCGCGGCCCGTCGGCAAGTGAGCTGGCGGCCCGGCGTGGCTGCGGCAAGGACGAGGAGCCAAACGACCGAAGTCCTGCCTTACGCAGATAGACATTTGTGGGTAGTGCGGCTCAAGACACGTTTTTGCTCTCTTTTCGGAGACGGCTGAGTCGTTTTATTGTTTCCCACTTAACCCAAGGCGTGACGGCATAAAGAGACATTGGTCATGATGTGACCCAGGACCCGTGGGGGCCGCCCAGGATGCTTGATTGTGCATGGCGGTAGCGGAGTCTATCCGTGGCGTCTCCGCCTTGGGAGAGGACAGGAGTCAGCCTGCTCTCTTCCGACGTGGTGTACGCTGGGCCTTATGAGCGATTAGTGACGGGATGTTCGAGACGGATAGGGATCCCGCCATCGACGCTCATAGGGAAGGCGACGAGGAATCAGGTCGCCGGGCTGGCCGGTCAGGCCGAGTCTCCCGAGCGCGCAGGCCGAGGAGACCGTAGGGCGTGGACACAGGTCGCGCCGGGCGCTCGTTGTCTGCCGAGGGGCTCCACCGTCCCATAGGGCGCGCTGTTTACCTCCAGGCCTTTGAGGGACGCGCCGTGGGGCGGTGCCTTGCAAAGCTTACTCCGGCGGGCGGGAGGCGAGGGCGCAGAAGTGCCGGAGGCGACGCCTCCGTGCTGGACGAGGCGCTACCTAAGGTGCGCTGTGCGGCAGCAGAAAGCTGCGAACGGTGGGTATGGCCGAGCGAATGGTGATCCACCCATCATGGATGGCAACGCGGGAAGCGTCGTCCAAACAGGAAGCCGTCCCTCTGGAGGTCAGGCGAGGGAGCGAGTCGCCTTCCAGCTTCGGACATCCAGATGTCGGCCGAGCAGCTGCGTCGGTGCCAAGCTGGTAAATTAACGTGATACACTCTAAACAGAGGGCCTAAATGTGGTCTTATGGTACGATTCAAATGAGATAAATGAATTTAACTTAACTTAACAAAGACGCACGCAGACAAGCCAATTATAATGCCAAGATGCAGGTAATAAGGGGAGGGGGGGGGGGGGCCTCACCCGTGTGCGAGCCAAGGATGAATGAGATGATGTGGGGGCCAGCGTTTGTGAATGCTTGGAGTGAGTGTGGTGGGGCGCCGAGTGCATGGAGTCTGCGTGGATCAGTTAAGGCCGGGGGGCGGGGGGAGGGGTCCCAGAGCCATTACCCAGCGGGCTACTGCCAATATAATTCGCCAGTGTGTGGGACCCTTCCCAGTTGGGCGTATTGGTATGCTCGCGGTTCCGTTTTTGCCCCGTTTACATATTATCCTAAGCTGAAGGGTAGAGGTGAGGTACCATGGTTAAGGGCGCACAGTCATGGGCAGGGAGACAGCCGTTCATGGTGCCTGACCGGACCCATGATCCCGTCAGTGCCCCGGTCACCTGCTTCATCCTAGCTCTGTGACTCACATGAGTGTTTGTTGATGTCGGGTGTATCGGAGCCGCAACGTGCCGAGTCGTGCGCTAACATCATCTGGCTCGTATGCTGACCAATGGGGCTCCTCATTATAAATTCGCTCTTGTGGGGGGGGGGGGGGGACGTGACAGCGGCAGCCAGCGACGCACACCATCCAGCGGCGGCCAGGCAGCCGCGCACGCCGCCTTCCGCACAGATCCCCCCCCCCTCCCCCCCCCACACCCTCGTGGTAAAAACAGCCCGACAGAAGACCAAAACCATAAACCACCCATTGAAGTGTAGGAACCTAAATACCCGTGCGGAAACTGCCGGCTCCGTAACTCGACTTATCTTGGAATGATTACCACATCTCTATCACGACGCATGACAACGCATCTGCGCAACATCGACTGAAAGTCAACCTACGGCCGGTATATCTGGAAATCGTGCTCACGAAGGCCAGATATGAGCGAATCGACAAATAATTCTTTCGTGGACATGGCCGCTGCGTGGCTAATAAAATCAAACAGAGTGTCAGGATTTAAATGGCATTATGACGCCATGGATGCCTATGTGACCTTGAAAAGGTCTCCACGGAACAGTCTGCACATTTTCATGGGCGTGTGACCACGAAACTAGGCGGTTTAAGGTCTCAAGAAAACTAGGCGGTTTAAGGTCTCAAGAAAAGCAGGACTGTGAACTGCACCGGATGATCTTCAAGATGGCTGCTGCAGTTAAAAACCCCACACAAAGGTGAAACACTCCCTTTAAATGGTGGTCACATTGAATTGTCACGTGGAGCATGTCCTGTATTTCATAAGATTCGGACATTTTGCGTCCGACTGACATGCATTTTCTTTTGAAAGTTGGCCAGTTCGGGCTAATATGAATGATTGTTGACTAATTAATTTACGCTTACCGTGACTACGACAAAGAACTCGATTCGAACGATTGGGTAAACGCGCGAGAAACTGATAAAATGTATATTTGCCCTGCATATAAGAAAACCAGCCTTAATCAAAACATGCTGCCTATGTACCCGGATACACACACACACACACACACACACACACACACACACACACACACACACACACACACACACACACACACACCACACACACACACACACACACACACACACACACACACACACACACACACACACACACCACACACACACACACACACACACACACACACACACATATATATATATATATATATATATATATATATATATATATATATATATATATATATGTGCGCATGTATACAATGACAACTATCCATCCATTCGTTTTCGATCACAACTACCCATTTGCAAATGAATGCAATGATCTTTACACACATATAACCCAATGAAGTTCGTGATGTCTCTATCTTAAAGATCACGGGTGACATGTTTACCTAAAAAGCGCGTGATGGTGAATCAGTATCAAAGCCTACGTCGGGGTGGTAAATGTCCAAAATCTTTGAAAAACAAAGCTTCTCGGCCATTTGCAATGCAAGTGCGGTAAGTGGTGGCGTATTTTGCAGCCCGGCTGCCGGATACCGGCGGGGGACACCGGCGGCTCCCGAGCTACGGTCCCTGCACGGGCCGCCGGCCGCGGTCATGTGCGGCGATCGCGGTCGGAGTCGCACCTCCCGCCGCCGCCACGGTCCGGCCACCAAGATACGGCCCGGCGGCGGCGGCGGCGCACGCCCGGCTGACTCTGTTTATAATCGCCTAGAAAGCACGTCAAGTCACACAATGCTGGCGGCGGCGGGTCACGGTGCGGACGCGGCCGGCCGGCTCTCCACCGGCGGCGTGCACAATGGCGAGGTCGGCGACCGTCAGAGCGGCACACACCGGACAGACCGCCGGCGTCGCCGGCTGGGGACGTGACCTGACCTGACCCGTCGGACGACCGGCGGCAGGAGCGATAAGGCGAGCTCACAATAGACAGACCGTTGAATACCGTGATTTAGTTATGCAGTTTTGGCATGCTGATAGCCACTTCGGCCTACGCCTGTGCTTTGTTACCCGGAAACAACTAACTGTCCGTCGCTGGCAGCTGGGAGATAAACAGAGATATCCAGGTTCCGGACAGGCATTTATCAGGGCCAAAATCTAAGCCTGAGCCTTGAGCCCCTAGATGCCCTCTGCGAGCGTCCGTCCGCTCAGCCCGGTTCAGCGCGGCCGTCCGGTCCCAGCCGACTCGATCCGAACCGATCCAATCCGATCGAATCCCTTCCCATCCCATCCCATTCTATTCCATCCCATCCCATCCCATCCCATCCCCATTCCATCCAATCCATTCCATCCCATCTCGTCCCATCCCATCCCATCCCATCCCATCCATCAAATCCCATCTCATTTCATTCCACCCATCCCATCCCATCCGACCCCATCCCATCCTCTTCCATCCCATCCCATCCCATCCCAACCCATCCTTTTTCACACATCCTATCCTATCCCATCCCATCCCATCCCATCCCATCCCATCCCATCCCATCCCATCCCATCCCATCCCGTCCCGTCCACTCCCATCCCATGCCATGCCATGCCATGCCATGCCATGCCATCCCATCCCACTCCATCCAATCCCATCCCGTTCCGTTCCGTCCAGTCCATGCGGTCCACGTACCGTGCTGTCCACCGCCGCCGCCGCTGCCGCCGCCGGTTGCCTGACAGGCGGCGCCGTACTCGCGACTGTAGGTATCGTACCGGCTGTCGGCCTCGACGCTGGGGTCGCTCACGCCGCGCACGCCCACGCGAGCCATCTCGCAGTTGAGCTGAGTGCCGGCCGTATCCCGCCTGCGCACACAGCGGCGGCTCAAGGTCCAGGTCGGCGAGACGGGGATGCTGTGGGCCCCGCACGGGCGGCCGACCGCGGAGGCTGACGGGGCTGGACCGGCGGGCGGTCGGGCTGGGCGGTCGGGCCGGGGCAGTACTTCCAGAGTTCCAAAACCTGATACCAGGCCTGGCGCTAACATAAGCACTCGGAAATAGCACCGATTTTGAGCTCTGTAGTGAAATATAGTGAAATGCAGTAGTAAAATACGCTGGAGTGAAATGCAGGTCTTACTGACTGAAAAGCGGCGGCGGAAGGAGAGTGGTGCTGCACATGACGGTGTGGAGTTCTCTCGGCTTTACGTCACAAGATAAACGTTGTGTAATCGCTCAAACTAGCTTATATTTTGAGCGTTACCACCACACAGCTGCCTCCGAGAAGGAGGGGGGGGGGGGGGGACGTGGCTGAACTCCTCGTTACCGTTGGATGACGTCATCAACATAACGGGAGATAATGAACTGAAGCTAATCTGGTATCCAACCCTGACTAGATTGGGTTCATGACCAATTTTTGTGGTGACACTACGAATACGTAATTTTTCCGACATTTCTTTCGCTTTTTTACTTATGATAGTAGATATACCAAAATGGCCGAGATCTTGCCCACGATTAGCATGCATATTGCATATGTGTTGTAAATATGCTCATTCAGCAATCTTATCATCGTCTTCCAGGTAATCATCATAATACTTCTAATGATCTTGTTAACGATAGTGAAACTCCTAAGTGACGGGATGACCACTGTGACTCATGATTTCATGACTTCTGGCGCCTAATTGTCTGGAAAAGGTTCTCAGCGTCTGATGTTTACCCCAGTCGGAAGATAATCCTATATGGCATATGCTTAAGCGTGCGGAAAGTTAAACGTCTATCAATCCTTCTTTGTCCAGAAACTGCTCGCGCACCCTTCCTTGAAACACTAGGAATAACAATTTGGTCTCGGTTTGTCGTTGTAAAGGTCCTTTCCGCACAGACAGGTGCCACTTATGAAAAAGTTCGAAAAGAATATTTCTTCTAATCTATTCCACTCGTGAGATCTCCATTTCGTATCTAATCATAGACATTAAAAAACAACAGATAATGTAATGCACCGCACCCTTCAAACTTCGATGACATGACTCACACGTTCTCACATATCAAAAAGGCGTATACGGTGAATTTTCCGCATCTCAGGATCTGAAAACTCCAACAAAACAAACAAACAAAACAAAAACGATAAAGAGGCATGGAACTAAAGGGCAGTTACTCTACAGCGACACCAAGCAGCACATCCGCTCAAAAAAGGTAGGACAACATCGGTCACACCGCGTGGGCGGCGCCGGCTCGCGAGGCCTGCTCTGACCTGAAGCTGAACGAGCGGCAGTCGCTGGTGATTTTACACTCCTCGGCGCAGTTCTGCACGGTGGTGGTCATGACGTTGCGGATGATCTGTCTGGACCGCAGGCGCGCGTCCGGCGCGTTCAGCCGGAAACACCCTGTCAAACACGTCATTAACGCGCCGGAAACGCCGCAAGCGCGCCTCTTCAGATCTAGCCAACGGACACACTAATTTGACGGTCACGAAAGCGAATGCATATGGTGCCTGCATCTGACGCAAAAATCGCGTGTTTGATGTTCATTCAGGCGGTCAAATTTCCTAAATTACCCACGATTAAAACAACTAATTGAGTAGTGAAGACGGTTGCGATTTTTTAGGGAATCATTTTTCGGCGCTTTCTGCAACGAAACCATCTTGTTCCATATTGTTTCTTTATATCGGGTTGCCTCTCCGCTGACTCACAAATTTAAATGATTCCTTTCATTGCAGCCAATTTCGAAAGGTCGCCATGCTATAGCCAGCTGCGACCTCAACTGCCAGTTGCAATTAGTCAAACTCATCGCTAGACAAGACTGGCAACTCACGAACAGTCGACCCGGAGCCGGCGCCGCCAGTTCCTGCGCCGCCCACCCCGGTGCCGTCGCAGTCCCGGCCGTAGCCGCGCCGGTACGTGCTGAACTCAGGCCGCGCTACAGTGTGCAGGCGGCCGGGGCGCCCCGACAGCTGGCAATTCCGGTCTCCGACGTAGTCGGGCCGCCTGCCGGGCGCGGCGGGCGTCAGCGACGGTGTCCGCGCGTCCGCACCGGTGCGCGGGTGTGCGGAGGGACACGGCGGCCACACTCCAGTCCGCGACCACACGAAACCCCACGGCCACACGCAACCCCACGGCCACACGCAACCCCACGGCTACACGCAACCCCGCGGTCACACGAAACCCCACGGCCACACGCAATCCCACGACCACACACAACCCCGTGGCCACACGCAACGCCGCGGCCACACGCCACCACGCGGCCACACGCAAACCCCGCGGCCACACGCAACCCCACGGCCACACGCAACGCCGCGGCCACACGCCACCACGCGGCCACACGCAACCCCGCGGCCACACGCAACCCCACGGTCACACGCAACCCCACGGCCACACGCCACCACACGGCCGTACGCCACCACACGGCCACACGCCACCCCACGACCACACGCAGCCCCCGCGGCCACACGAAACCCACGGCCCACACGAAACCCCCACGGCCCACACGAAACCCCACGGCCACACGCAACCCCACGGCCACACGCAACCCCACGGCCACACGCCAACCCACGGCCACACGCACACCACGGCCACACGGCAACCCACGGCCAGACATGGCGTACCCATACACGACGGGACTACATCCGGACGCTGGCGCCAAATGCGCACACACAAGCCCGTCAAATATGAACTCCATCCGAGCTATTGATCGCAATGTATCCGCATACAAAGCCCGACGGAAATCCCACGCATTGTGGCCCTAAGCTTCGCTATGGTCGCCAGCGCTCCGTCATGCCTTAAGCGCAGTTACCGGCAGCAGACAGCGGGGTGTCGTGTCGGCGTGAGGCCCGCCGCAGCCGGTCAGGGACTTGCCTGTAACTGAAGGCCTGGCAGCCGAACGGCGCCTGGGTACAGGCGTCCTCGCACTGCCGCAGGCTGGCCGCCACCACTCGTCGGGTCACGTCCTGCATGTCGATGGCGCGACCTCTGTCGGTCAGCCGGTAACAGCCTGGGGGGGGGGGAGAGGCATGATGACGGCCGGTGGTAACGCTCTGAGGTAAACGGTAAGTATGGCCGAAATCTGAATCGAATCAGGGGAATTGTAAATAACAGAAAGATGAACAAAAGAGCAGTTGAGAAAAGCTCAGCACGAGAACAAGACAGATTGTTTCTGTTGCGATTTTCACGGTAGACGAGGACTTTCCGCCGAGTTGCAGGTGGCACAAGAACGTGCCGAGGCTGGTCAACAGATCCGACGGCGGACAGTCGATCGCTATTGGCGAGAGATCTCTGACGTCGACGCCGTGCTGCATCACCGCTTTCGGTCTGAGCACTACGGAACAGCACCCGAGTCCCCCGTCCATAGTTGCGTGCCATGGTCCTGACTGTGGGTCACCCGGACGCGTACACATGGTGCTGGCCGGGTCGAGACACTCTGTGGGTGTCTGCCGGAGATCGGCATCTGGTCGGGGCTCCGCCAGCAGATGGGCAGCCATGACTGACTGCTCCGTCGGGCACAGCGATTCGGTGTGGAGCTGGTCTGGTGCTATCCTCCACCGGGCGAGCTGCGGAGGCGCAGCTCCTCGACGCGCCTCGCTGGTCTGGTGCTATCCTCCACCGGGCGAGCTGCGGAGGCGCAGCTCCTCGACGCGACTGCGCTGGCCTGGTGCCATCCTCCACCGGGCGAGCTGCGGAGGCGCAGCTCCTCGACGCGACTGCGCTGGTCCGGTGCCATCCTCCACCGGGCGAGCTGCGGAGGCGCAGCTCCTCGACGCGACTGCGCTGGTCCGGTGCCACCCTCCACCGGGCGAGCTGCGGAGGCGCAGCTTCTCGATGCGACTGCGCTGGTCCGGTGCCATCCTCCACCGGGCGAGCTGCGGAGGGGCAGCTCCTCGACGCGACTGCGCTGGTCCGGTGCCACCCTCCACCGGGCGAGCTGCGGAGGCGCAGCTCCTCGACGCGACTGCGCTGGTTACACTCGGAGCAGCCGCGGCGCCGGGCTTGGCATGGCTGCAGCTGCTCAGGTAGGTGCTAGTGGCCGCCGCATCTTCCGCAGACTTAAGCGAAGGCCTTCTTGGACGTGGCTGGCTGCGCGCGCGACGGGTCACTGACACCGGCTGGATGTTGTCTGCCCGCATCGTGACCTCAGAATCCAGTCGTGAGTTTTCTCGCGTTCAACAGACGCTCGTGAATTTTTGCAGCGTTGGGTTTGGCTCCCTGAGGAGATCGCACGTCTCCTCGTCGCGCATGCCGGCGGCCAGCCAGTCTCGGTACTGTGTGGCGGTGCGCTGAGGGCGAAAGTCGCAGAACTGGGCGAATTCTTCCAGGCTCATGAGGAGGATATCTCGACGCTTCCCATCACTACCATTCCCGTCGCCATCCTCCTCTTCCCATGAGGAGGATATCTCGACGCATCCCATCACTACCATTCCCATCGCCATCCTCCTCTTCCCATGAGGAGGATATCTCGACGCTTCCCATCACTACCATTCCCATCGCCGTCCTCCTCTTCCCATGAGGAGGATATCTCGACGCTTCCCATCACCACCATTCCCATCGCCATCCTCCTCTTCCCATGAGGAGGATATCTCGGCGCTTCCCATCACTACCATTCCCATCGCCATCCTCCTCTTCCCATGAGGAGGATATCTCGGCGCTTCCCACCGCCTTGCTGATGCATATAAAGCTCACACCTGCCCAGTATCCCGTTGCGCTGACGCCTGGGGTGGTCTTACATGGCCGTGATCACGACCTGGACGTCGCTGTCCTCGGAAAGGTCCAGGCTGAACGTGAAGATCCGCACCTACCCGTCCTTCAACAGGCTGTGTAGCGAGGCGTGTTGCCCGTTGACGGGGAGCAGAATGAGTTGGGTTAGTTTGACGAAACACTGGGATTTGGTTTTCCAAGAAGTAATGTCTCGCAAGCTGGCGCGGGCCGTCAGGAGCGGTGGGACGGGCGCGGGCGTCTGTGGCTTGGCCAGCGTGGGCCGTCAGGAGCGGTGGGACGGACGCGGGCGTCTGTGGCTTGGCCAGCGTGGGCCGTCAGGAGCGGTGGAACGGGCGCGGGCGTCTGTGGCTTGGCCGGCGTGGGCCGTCAGGAGCGGTGGGACGGACGCGGGCGTCTGTGGCTTGGCCGGCGTGGGCCGTCAGGAGCGGTGGGACGGACGCGGGCGTCTGTGGCTTGGCCGGCGTGGGCCGTCAGGAGCGGTGGGACGGACGCGGGCGTCTGTGGCTTGGCCAGCGTGGGCCGTCAGGAGCGGTGGGACGGATGCGGGCGTCTGTGGCTTGGCTGGCGTGGGCCGTCAGGAGCGGTGGGACGGACGCGGGCGTCTGTGGCTTGGCCAGCGTGGGCCGTCAGGAGCGGTGGGACGGACGCGGGCGTCTGTGGCTTGGCCGGCGTGGGCCGTCAGGAGCGGTGGAACGGACGCGGGCGTCTGTGGCTTGGCCAGCGTGGGCCGTCAGGAGCGGTGGGACGGACGCGGGCGTCTGTGGCTTGGCCAGCGTGGGCCGTCAGGAGCGGTGGGACGGGCGCGGGCGTCTGTGGCTTGGCCGGCGTGGGCCGTCAGGAGCGGAGGAACGTTACGGAAGCCGTGGCTTTGCCGACGTGGGGTCAGGAGACGTCCGCAGGTGGGGAGTATTCCGATCGCCGCCAGACGCCTCCTCGCATTCTTGCGCTTCGACTGGTTGAGCACGCTGACCAGAGGTTGGACGGGCAGTCCAGGGCAGTCCGCACGGCGGGGTCCCTGGACGGAGCTGCAGGCGTGGTGCCGGCCGCGCGAACGGTCACGTCCACTGGACGTTGGTCGTTCCACCAGGGCGTCACAGATCACGAGTCGTTCACCGGTGCTATCGACCGCGTCATGTAACGTTCAGCGACAGTGGCGAGACAGGCTGCCTGTGTTAGCACCAGGCGATGACTGCGCGTAGGGACGCACACCTGGTGTCCCCGTCCGAGGGGTAACACGCCCGAAAGAGGCGAGAGAGGGAAAGACGCTCCCCACAGTTACTACTCGCTCGTCGGGCAAAAGTATCATTCACGTTTTGCAACGTGACAAAACTTGAAGCGGAACGCGGCCATGTCTCGCAGAGACGCATAGTTTGCATCAGAGTGATTTCGATCTACACCCATTCCCTCCAAGTGGCTATGGCACAGAGCAGACCACCGGTGCTGCCAGGTCAGACGACAACATTCCGAGGCGCGCCACAGTGACGCCGCACCGCACACGGCCGGGCCATGGCTCAGGGGATGGGAGCTCGTGTCTTCAGCACGGTGTGGCCCACACTGTGTGGGGTGCGCGTCCGAGGCCCCATGGGGACGGCCGGGCGGCGCGGCGCTCACCGTCACGGCCACCGCTGCCAGTGCCGGTGTCGGGCCCGCCGCCGCCGTAGTAGCCGCACGCGGAGGTGCGCTCCCGTTCGTAGGTGTCCACCAGCGGCGCCGACTCCAGCGTCGGCTCCCAGCTCGCCTCGCCCGAGAGCTCGCAGTTGATCTCGTTGGTGTTGTACTCGGTCCTGCGACACGGGCCAGCTCGGTGAAAGCGGGAGGGTGGCGGGTGGCGTAACGTCCAGACGTTCAGCACGATGTCGTAGGCGTTTGTTCTACTGCCTCGGTACACTTGAGTGATGAACGCTACCGCAGCACATCCCTTTACGGCACTTGGGTTGTGGCCAGGCGGGTATGTTTAGCGAAGACTCATGGCGAGAATGGTGTTGGCCTGATACAAATCTGTGGACGCCATCTCCGAAAAGCGCACCGTATTACAAGAGATGGACCACCTACTTATAGGAGAAGGCCGTGCAGAAGAAGTCGGCGTCGAGGCAGCTCTGCTGGCAGCGGCTGAGCGAGCTGGAGCGTAGTGAGTACCGGACAGCCTCGGCCGGCAGCTGGCGACCCGTGATGACGCGCCGGAAACAGTCTGACCACCACAGGCACGCGCGTGACGGAGGGCTCAGGGCGTCACGGCACGGCACGCAGACGAAATGCACGCCGGAGTTAGGGTCGGTGGGCAAACAGGAACAGTCTCTGGTGGTTTTACGAGAGACTAGCGGTATTCTTACTACTAGTCCGAAAATAAACTAGTCATAAGGACGGCCTCCGTCTATCACAGCCATTGCGGCGATTTCTGCGGAACGTTTTCGGAACAGATGTGAATAGCGAGGAAGCAAATCAGCGACCGCAGGGGTTACGCAAAATTTGCCAATAAGTGCGGAGAACTTAAAAAGGCGTACACCGAAAACAGAGCTTAATGCACTGCAGGGTCAGCAATGTCGTGCTGTCGTACAACAGCATCGCATACTCCTGATCTCCTTATTTCTAAGCGTCTGCCTGTTGTTTTGCCGTCAACATTTGGTCACGTACATATTAATAGCTGCCATAAATTTGGTATGGGGGAGGGGGGGGGGGGACGTGCCACGGGGCCACTATGTGTGAATGCCCTGAGCGAACGTCTTCAATCAAGCTTGCGATTATGCACAGATGACAATGAGCTAGAAGCTAGGAGCCAAAACAAAACATAACAGTGTGACGCTGAATGGCACAAAACACAATGCCGTTTAGCTTTGTTTTCTCCACATTGAGCTGCCGCTGAATTTGTGAACGCACCCCTGCTCTCCATAGGCGATGTACCGGAGCTGCCTGGCAGGACGCTCCGGCAGCCGGGGCGGTCCTCCACGCGGAACGTCTGATATCCGGGGCCGTCGGTGAGTAGGCGGTCCGGCGCCGCCACGGACGTGGTGGTCAGCTCGCAGTTCAGGTCCACCGCAACACCGTTCACGGCCGTGTCTGCCCTGGAACACAGACAGGGTCAGCTGGCGGCCCAAGCGGCAAAACGGACGTTAACGACGAGTCTGTCCAGGAACGGAACAGACAGTGTTTCGGCGCAGGACTTTAGATGATTCCAAAGTTATTTCGGGATCGAGGATCCGGGTGATGTCATCAAATGATCCCTTGGATGCCGAGATTCATGATTGGAGTCCTTAGATACGTCTGGTCAAGACAGAAATTCACTGCAAGCCTCCTAGACCTCATATACAGGCATAACAACAGCAAGACACGGCGACATTTTTGCTAGACCTGGTGTTTGTAAATGACTTTAGTTTTCCGGCCTACCTTAAAGCGTTTCTCAGTCTGAGCTTCGAAAATGTCTGGGTGATATGAAGTGTCATCTTCTTTACCCTATATACCAATCTGTTACCTTAGATAACCAATCCCTTTCCTCCAGGCCCTCCCTGCCCTCGCTGGAATGTGCCGTCTCTCAAGGTTGGAGGGCGCGGAGGCCCTAGTTTGGCTCAGTTGGTGGCGCTTCCCACCCAAGCGGGATCTCTGCTCCACTCGGACTTCGGGACGTCCTTGTACCGAATCTTAGAGGGCGTCTCTCTACCTTAGCTAAGGTTCCCCCTCCGTCTGGGCTTGAGGTCCACCTAACTTGACATGAAGTACACCTCAATGTGCATTAATGTGCCTTCGATCGTAAGCGATCTTCAATCTGGGACTGGAGTGCCATCAATATGTATGCCTCCACCTATCCATCTTTATATATATATATATATGCATATATATATATATATATATATATATATATATATATATATATATACATATAAAAAGATAAGGAGAGAGAGAGAGAGAGAAGAGAGAGAGAGAGAGAGAGAGAGAGAGAGAGAAGAGAGAGAGAGAGAGAGAGAGAGAGAGAGAGGAGAGAAGAGAGGAGAGAGAGATATATATATATATATATATATATATATATATGTATATACATGGTGTATGCATGTATGTATGTATGTATGTATGTATGCATGTATGTATGTATGCATGTCTGTATGTATGTATGTATGCCTCTACGTTTAGGTTTGGGGTCTTCCATACGCTTGGGTGTAAGGCCGCCTCTTTATTGGGTTTTGTGGCATCCAGTGTTTCGGCTCCTTGCAGCAGGGACACCTTGACCGGACAAGCGAATGCCCGAATTTTGAGGTGCTTAAGTCCTTTTGCGCCAAACTAACCGACTTAAAGGAAGTATTCAGCATTTGTACTTTTTGCTAGTTGTTACACCAGACGCGTACGATTTATCAGTAATACCAGTCTTATGGAAATCCTCCTGCATAGCTTAGAATTTATATTTCAAGTAGCCTGCCCTGCGGCAGAAATCTCATTTGACTCCCTGTTCATCACTATGAAAGTAATACTTCTCATCTGGCTTGCTTTTCCAGCGTGTGTCTGCTGTGATGTTTGCAACAGATTTATGCCTCAAAATGCCTGTGTAATAAATGCTGCGGAGCTCAAAACATTCTGATCAGACTAAAATATATGCGAACATCAAGCTATTATCCCGCGAATTCAGCAAAGCGTTATACTCTGGCTTTGATTTCTCTCCTATGGCGTTTACCACAGTGGCTGTTTTCAAGGCGCACTTTGGCTTTGGAATGGGAGTATCACATTCAAACTGATCCAAACTTCAACCAATACGCTTCTCGGTAAATGGACTTTGGCCGCTGGACCAATCACAAACGCTCTTTTATTCACACCAGTAGAGTGAGCACGGTGGTTGTCATGGCGACGGTTTCTAGACCGCAGGGAAAAAGCATGGTGCTGTTATAAATCATTGACAGCGAAATTTGGACCCTATCATCACGTCTTGATGGTGCTCCAGTGGCACTACCAAGTGCTACTAATAGACGCAATGAGTCCTAAGTTTTCACTATAGTATGTTTTTTGAAACATGTCCCAAGGCGGGACACTCCCTTCAATATTGCTAGAAATTTGGTGAACTTGCTTGGAACGTTTCATAAGTTATTCCAAGAACTCTGAGAGCCACCTCACTTTAAACAGACGACAGTTTATGAGCAACTTATCACAATTTTTCCCCTATGAACGGATAAATTTTATGTCATGCAAAACAAACCGGAAACGCAGACACCATTTCGTAGGCGTTCCTCCGAAGTCACGCCACAACGTGCCACATAAATCCACTGTCAGTGCGCTGGAATCTCGGACCGTACAGTGCACCAGAATCTGGCTGTGTGAGAGCGTACTTACCCAACGGTGCGCGCGGTGAACAGAAGCCAAGAATGTGCGCTCCAGTTACAAGGACACGTGCGGAATGTGTAACGGGTACCCCTTCAGGGCACTAGTAGGCGGAACGGCATCGGCCGTTCATCAATTCCGCCTGATACTCGCGGCAATTCTAGCCACGGAGCCACGGTGTGTTTTTACGCGCGCTGGGGGCGGCCAGCCGTGAACAACTCCGCGCTCCTGCCGCCGCCGCCGCCGGGGGAGGCGTGCGGATCAGGCTGGCCGGCGGTCGGGTGGCGCGTGACCGGGGTCCGTTTGGCGGCGGCGCCTGCGTCGGGGCGTCACAGCCGGCAACACGGGCGCCGAGGCGTCACAGCCGGCGGCACGGACGCTGGCCGCTAGCACGCGTCCTTGGTGGTGTCGCCTCCCGAAAGAAACGGCGTCGCTGGCGTCCGTCCGGCCATGTACCGGACGCGTCCGTCACGGAAGCGCATCAGCGTACGGGAGCAGAATAATGCATAAATGACATAGTCCTTCGCACGTTAAGTTGCGGGAATTATTGCACACCTAAAAGCAATATCATCGCAGCACGCTGCTGCTTCAAAAAATGGTGTTTTGTGCTCACCATGCCAACAAATCTCATCGACGTTGTCTCCGTTGTTTTGCACGCAATGTACGCCTCTCGTGGTCTCTCCGGTGAGACAGTAACTATCAGACATGCGCCTGGATCCTCCCCGAAAGAGATCTCAGGACCGGATCCTAGTCATTACCCGGATTCCTCAGGAATCTAGGATTCGTTTAACAAGTTGTCCGATATGCGTCTGTGATCCAAGAGTTCGTGTAGATTTTACCAAAAGATCTTTTGGGATTTTACATCTGATACAAAATTGTGCCAACGTATCTCTTGTTCTCCCTGATTTTTTAACGACCTTTTAAAAACGGATTTGAGAGATATTATTTCCTTGGATTTCAGGAATCAGTTCATTCGTGCAACTGCATACAGAGTCTGAAATGAAATTACAGATATAGGCGGAGGTGGGATGAGCTGCACCATTTTCAAAACTTAACCGCAATAAAAATGCAACAAGCTGATCTCATGGTACTTGCCATACAGCTATCACGACATGTGAATTACTTCAGTGGCATTTGACGATTGTGAAGTAGTGTCATTGGTATAAGCAGGGGGGGGGGGGGGGCTCCGGTATCCTAAGCATTAAAAAAGACCAGAGCGTTCTACTTTATTGCTTCTTTAGCCTTGGTTATAAGCATGCTGCAGAATTAGGAACCCGTTGTGTAAATTTCATTTCGGCAAACAGCAAGAAAAATACTCCAGGAAAAATATTACCACCCGTTTCAAATGGGGTCGCTCTACATAAATGGCAAATACAAACAAACGAAACAGGGTCATTGGTGGAATCTGGTACCTACTCTTATCAAACAGCGACCACTGCAGATAACCATGCGGCACATATTGATACAAAATGTTCCAGAAGTCAGCTCCACCCATGTTCTAACATTCTCTTATTTGCACAGGGCTCACGTTCTAAATCATGGGATGTTTTCTGGAAGGTTACAACCAGACTTACTCTTCTACGCTGATAACTGCAAAAAGTGTAAAGATAGCTAATCATGACAAAACTAATCGCAGCCGGTAACTATTTGCAATATTTCTTGAAGTATCTACGCGACATTTCGTAAACGTGTTATCCATGCCCGTAGTTTTCCCAAAACTTGCACCCAACCCAATCCGTTGCCTACTCCATATGGGTACCTATCGCTGTGCCCAACCCGTAAAGTTGCAAGATAATTTTGAAGGGCCTTTTTTGCCCGGATTTCTTTTTAGCATTTCCTGCATGATTCTTTGGGATCATGGCACATCTGGTAACATCACTGTCTCAATGTCTGGTTGCGATGGCTGCCGATGTGACACTGACTAGGTGATGCTGAGGGTGCCGTTGGCCTTTGTTGCAGGCTAACTTGCGCTGGCAATCGCCAGCATTGAGGTAGAAGGCGCGACATTTGTGACTGGCAGAACACTTTGGTCATTAACATATGGTCCATTCTAGCATCCACAAACAAACACAATTACTCAAAATGATGTTTGTAAACCAGCGTAACCAACATGAAACAAGAAAACATCACTGCAGAGATCGTAAACATTACCAAACTCCGACGGTACGAACTCGTAGGATCTTGGTAACCGAAGGCATGATGGCCGCTACTAACAATGTGTACGCATGTGTGACAGCCTGTTATCCCTGCCACTACAAGGCAGTCTACTGTCCCATGTTGAAGTGCTCGAAGACAAGGCTCTGCTGCTCTTTGAAGAGAGAGCTCGTGACTAGACATACCAGCAGATAATGGAATGCTTGAGAATTTTCTCTATTTATCCTAAAATACCACCAAAAGCTCACATTCTATAAGCGCGGTGCGTTGTAAACCCTGCTTCGCGGACGATGACCTCAGACGATGGCTAAGATTAAGCGCCACCCAAGTGCGCCACCCACTCATCGTCTGAGGTTGAAAAACGATGATCAACTGCGTCCTCCCTGCAGGTTACACGTGCGCCAGCGCCCACTCACGGTCTGTAGCTGAAGGCCTGGCAGAGTGTTTCGGAGCGGAGACACTTGTCGGCGCAGTCCGCCAGTGACGTCTCGCTGAAGCGGCGGGAGATGAACTGCACGCCCAGCCGCTTGCCAGTCGCCAGCGAACGGTAGCAGTCTGCCGACAGCGCGTCCGACGCCGTCAGCCAAGTGCAGAGACACAGGCAGCGCCGGACGGATCCGGCTTAACACGGGCACGGGAGGGAGGGCAGCAGTCGTGCACGCTGGACGGTCCTGGCTCACCGAGGTCGAGGAAATTGGGGGAGGGGGGTTGATAATAGGGGATGGTGCCTGAAGACACTCACGTTTCTATGTAGCCGAGGAGGTTTAGTTGCGGTCAAAGTATCTGCCGGTGTCTCACAAAACCTGCACGTTATGGAAAAGCATAACAGCGTTTTCGAGGCATTGGATAAAGATGAATATATCCAATTGCTACCGGTAAATGCATGCATGGCACGTGATGAGTGTTTTTTCATTAGTTATTTTGTTCCAAGCGCCCTGTTACTCCGCACTTCTTTTCTCAGCTGGCGCATTCCGTATTGAGCAATTGGTGAACGTAGTCGATTTAGGACTATGCAATTCCTAGACTCTGAGATACGGGTATATTTTCCTAATCACTTTGGGGGAGGGGGCTAAAGCCCAACCCCAGATTTGTGTTGTATGTTAGAGAATGGTACACAGTTTTCACTGTTCGGCGCCCCCTCCCTCTCTCCAACTTATGTTGCAAAACTACGCTCCCGTTCTAAAAACAGAACTGGTCTATTTGCGTTTACCACTTCATCACTACGATGAAAGAGTGCATTCATCCTTTAGGCATTCACCCGCAGACACTGTCAAAAAATACTCGATAAATCGGCTTTTTAATTTTTTGTAGCAATTGCAAGCTTTGATTTTAATAATATAATGCAATTGTCTAAAAGATACCTGCATTGCATCGGTCTCTTACGTATATTTTAGGGTGATAATAATGATAACGGCAGTTTTGTGAGTTCTCACATGACGGAAGCATTACAGTCTTAAACGATTATATTAAGCTATTCTTCGATACAGTATGTTTTCACGATCATGAGAAAGCTCGGCACATACACAGATAAATTATAATTTGGGCTCGCCTGAAGACTATATCCAAAAGCCTGCTTCGCTCGCTCACTCACTCCCGAAAAACCTGACAGCTGCCAGGAACCCAGCTTAATGAAGCAGGTCAGTGGGTGTGGAATGGCAGACACAATTCATACCACGCTCGTCAGTACACAATGATTTCGTGGAAAGGCCCGACAGGTGCTAAGATCACTCAACGAAAAATCGTGAAGCCGAGAAACAAAACAAGAGTTCACATGACTGAAGAAATGAACAATGTAACGGTGTACACGAATAGCTACGACTGGGGCAGCGCACATGCAGGATCATCATCCCCGTGACTTTCTGTATCGCTTGGGCTTATGATTCAGCACCATCTACAGTTCGTGGCTCGTAGCCAGACGGTCTCTCCACAGTCGCTCTGTGGTCCCCTCTTGTGCTGCGTTACTTGCGCTTTTCGAGGACGCCGGCTTTTTTGGCTGCACTTTCCAGCCATGTAACCGTGTAAAACATCATGACAGCGCAATTCGTGTCGGATGGCTATCCCATACGGGGTAGCTTTCTACTTTCCACACGTGTTTGGCACTATTACTCAGATTAAGTGACGCACTCCGCATGGAACAATTAGCTATGAAACTTAAATAGCGCCCGGCGCTCTGAGGCCCGTGGCGCGTGGACAGTGTGCTCGGGGCGAGGCTGGACCGTGAGTTCTGCCCGGGACCACACACCGGCGCGTCAGGCGGCTGATGCTGGGAGCCGCGTTACAACCTCTGCTGGAGAAACTGCAACGCGCCACTGAGGTGCCACGCGAGGTGCACGGTCTGGGCGCATCGCAGCGACCGACGCTGCCGAGCGGGGCGCAGCGAGCCACGCTCTGCGGCGGCTGACTTTTCTACTATATAGCCATGCCAGACGAGAGCAGTGAGCATGACATTGGGTGTTGCATGTTTCAGGGTTAGTATCAAGTCATTATGACTTAAATTTCACCGATACGGTTACACATTTTATAATCACCCTTGCCAAGGAGGTGCGCATCATTGCATTCATACACATAAGAATGCCACGACCAGTGCATTTTACGAGGCATGTCTTCGGCATACATTCGCATATCGAGGCGATATCATCCCCAGTACAATTGAAATCTTGGTCATTCGGCTCCCGTTTGAAGTAGTACGGAAATGACAGATGATCAGCCGTGCGATGGATCGCTGGAAATTGTATTTTCCATAACTGCGTATCTACAAGTACATTTTCCTTTTACCTCCCTGCTCGTGCTTTCGCGTATTTCGTGACCATTTAGGTAAATTTATTTCCAAACGCACCCGGTGCAATCACGAACAATCCAACAAACATCACAGGCATGACCGGAACACATGCTTGCAGGGCGTTGCATGCGTATTTGTCAGAGCGCCGAGGCATCCCGTCGATTACGATGCAGAGGCTTGTATCGGAGTAGGGTGATGGAGTCACATGCAGGGGCTTGTATCGGAGTCAAATGATGGAGTCACATGCTCGAAGCAATTTGCGTTCCTCCAAACTTACTCCTCTGTGCAGCAAGAATGCATTGTCTGCGATGGCGGTGTGGTTTCATATCCAGCGGGTGGTTTCCAGGCCCCTTCCCAACCCAATTTCGCCGTCAGGCCTTCCACCAACTTGGAATGGAAGTGAGCTAAATCTGGTGAAATTGGACGTCACCCGCAAATGGTGGTAGCCTTAGGCATTTGTGCATAGCTTAGTCCCCCCCTCCCCCCCCACACACACATTGATATTGTAAGACTACGCCTCCGGCCTGAGAGAGGAGGTTCAGACCGGGATTCATTCACGCCCTTTTTCACTGAAGCTGCGTCGAAAGAAGAACCAATTTCGTCCCCAGAGCCGTCTCTCCCGCATGGCTGACATGCGTGGAGTTACGTGTCCAGCACTGTGCTCATATCTGAATATTGGGCCTTCCGGCGGCGCCGCCCTACTAAATCCGTCCGCACGTGACCTCAGTCAACATGTCCCCACGCCCGGCCGGCTGACCAGGGCAGGCCGGGACGCCTGTTGCCGCCATGATAAATGAGCTACCGACAGAATGGCGCCATTAGTGTGTACCGAGCGTGATGGCAGCGGCGGTGCCACCGCTCGGCTGGGTTCAGTGCGGCGCCGGGAGAGCGGAGGTCGCCGGCTGTGACCTGGCCGACCACGAGTCGGGCGGCGCTACCACGGAAGTAGCCCCATCTGCAGGAAAGTTTAGATGAAATCCACGGCTTTGGATGAGCAAAACCGAGCTAGACATCATTCCTGCCCCCCCCCCCCCCCTTCCCACAGCCTCAGATGATTCAACATCACTAATTATATGGCATCCGTCTCTGCGAGCAGTGAAAATGCAACGCTACACCCTCGGATTGCAATAATTCGTGCAGATGACTACAGCCTGCCTATCCTGTGCTCCTAATGCAGTGCAGGATGTTATGTCCAAACACGCCCGCCCAACGTGCAGCACGGAGTTTCTGTACAATCACATCTTCGAACACTGCAGACTGGGAGCAGCCCGCGACAGTCACGGAAATGACGTGACACTCCTCTCACCAAACACTATGGAACCTAGCCCCTGAAGTGGCGCCAATTTCTCCAGACAAGGAACATTTTTCTAAAGCGCTCCACGCCGTCGTGTGCACGGGAGACGAGTGGGCGGTGTCGAGAGGTTTGAGCCGCAAGCTCAGGTCCAGGATGTACCGACACCCTCTTTGCGTGTCCAGCGTCAGACGCTCCGGGACACTCGCCACCCGATTATTATCGTTAGCATTGCACGGTTTGTCCTCACGCCCATCTGAAGCAAGCGACCTCTACGCACCTGGTCGTCCCGGAAACCGCTCTGTTATTGTCTTTACGCCGCTGAGCGTGCTCCGTCACTGTGGCTGGCTCTGTCGCAACACGGCAGCGCTCACCACTACCGGCACTCATCACTGCCGGCGCTCACCACCGCCGGCGCTCACCGCTGCCGGCGCTCACCACCGCCGGCGCTCACCGCTGCCGGCGCTCACCACTGGCGGCGCTCACCACTGCCGGCGCTCACCACTGCCGGCGCTCACCACTGCCGGCGCTCACCACTGCCGGTGCTCACCACTGCCGGCGCCCACCACTGCCGGCGCTCATCACTGCCGGCGCCCACCACTGCCGGCGCTCATCACTGCCGGCGCTCACCACCGCCGGCGCTCACCACTGCTGACGCTCACCACCGCTGGTGCTCACCGCGGCCGGCATTCATCACTGCCGGTACTCACCACTGCCGGCACTCACCACCGCCAGCGCTCACCATTGCCGGTACTCACCACTGCTGGCGCTCACCACTGCCGGCGCTCATCACTCACCACTGCCGGCGCTCACCAACGCTGACCCCGACCAGTGGGTGGGACGTCGGCAGCTCAGCGAATTCCGCTAACGTGAAAGCGAGAGGAGACCTCTGGAACACAGGCTATTGCTCTGCAGGCCTTGCAGAGTGCGCCCAATTGCAAAGGTGGCCAGACCTGTCTCGAGGTGATGAAACCGAGCTTAACTCAGGACGTCTCATGGCTCCCTGAGTACGGTAAATCTTAACTCAGGACGTCTCATGGCCCACTGAGAACGGTAAAAGCTTGACTCAGGACGTCTCACGGCTCCCTGAGAAAGGTAAAAGCTTGATTCAGGACGTCTGATGGCTCACTGAGTACGGTAAAAGCTTAACTCAGGACGTCTCATGGCTCCCTGAGTACGGTAAAAGCTTAACTCAGGACGTGTCATGGCTCACTGAGAACGGTAAAAGCTTGACTCAGGACGTCTGATGGCTCACTGAGAACGGTAAAAGCTTGACTCAGGACGTCTCATGGCTTCCTGAGTACGGTAAAAGCTTAACTCAGGACGTCTGATGGCTCACTGAGTACGGTAAAAGGGATGGGCCGGTCAGACACCAGTACGAACTTCAAGGCGGGAGAGTGTATCTCCAAATCCACTTTTTGGCATGCCTTCCAGCCGTACGCGAAGCTCACTTATGCGATTAAAGAACGAAAAGTGCTATCAAAA